TTCTATTTATATAAAAAAATGCTTGTAGTATAGTCTACCAGTATGAAGGCTTGATGTAAATTGACGCCCGTTTATTTGGCATGCTATAGGCATGTGTGCTTGCATTTTCGTGCGTAATACTTCGGTTGTTCGATTTAGCATGTATTATTTCTTTTAAAAAATAGATCTTCGTGTTTGGAAGTGGAGCAAGAGGCGTGATAATGAGTAGGCTGAGGAAAGGGAAAGTGTTACCTCATTAGGGTAATGACTAAGACATCCCCACCATTACATCGGCTTGAAAACGTGGCAATTAAGACACCCTGCATGGGCTCCTAGAGGCACAAGAACCATCCAGTTCTCCGAAGCCAGAGAGTAGCGGCTAATGCGTGTCATGTAAATGAAAAGACCGAACATCTTCGTTTAATTTCTATCCCCCCTCACCCCTTCCCCCTCCTCCAGCCTCATTCTTTTCTTCAAAAACAGGCTTGTTAAATCTGATTTAGCCTCCTCAAAAGACGAACATCTTTCACATAATATCAGGCTATCCTGACACTCCATCGCCTGCGCCACATAAGGCCATTCCTTTCGAAACACTGGGAGATAGAAAGTAAACTGTGTTGGTAACTTGGAACATTTAAAATGCGTTGTACGCCAGTCCGCCTTTATCCTCCTGCCGACAGCTACAAGTAAATCGAAGAGATCGAAATCGCCTTGTTTTAAAATGTTGGCCACAAAACCGTCGTCATAAAAACCTTAACAAGCCATAGTGCAAATATCAACAGTTTTTCTAACTACATGTTTTCTTAACAGTCGCGTGTTAACAAAACATGCTGTTCTGTTTGTTGATTTTACAAAACCTAGATTATCTCTGTATGAACACACGAACTATTGCCTTGTCGTTGCATGTACAGTATGTAACACAACAAGACACCCTTAACTGTTGTCTGCACATTCGTTGCTGGAGAATAATTACAAACCCAGGAACTTGAAGGACATGGTATAAAAAAAAGCTGACAATTATCATACATTTCTCTGAGTTTTAGGTAGCTTCAGAATTGTTACAATGTACCTAAATAACGCAGTCTAGATAAACATACGAATTTTAACGTTTCATTTTTTAAACCCGCTGAGCCAGAAAGTCCAGCGTTAAAAACTTTTTAACTTCTCTACCGTTGAATTCTGTGATATCAGAAATGCCCTCTATCTCTCAAGCCCCTTAAAAAGTTCCCGTTGAATGTTTTTGAATTTCTGAAGATCATATCATCAAACCAAAGCTTACTTATGTGTACAAGTGCACAGGCATTGGTTGGTTGAACGAAATCGGTTTCTACTAGAATTAAAAACCTTAGGCTGTTACAACAAACTAATTTCACACATGCATGATATTTAAGCGTCGTGGGTTTTTTTTTTAAGTAAAATATAAAATACTAACATCTCATTTTACTTTATGCAATGTATTGCTGTCGTAGGTTTGCAGACAATAAAAAAAACACACATCCTTATGAATATATACAATAACACACAAACTGTAATATATCTAGAAGTTTCCATTCACAACCTGCTAACATTTCAACTACTGAATTTAAATCATAATTACACGATACATATGATTGGCGTTTAAAGCACACATAGTAAAGCAGAATATGTACACGTGGAGTGCTGTTATCGTTTTAGCTAGAAAATCCAATTATTGTCTGCAGATCACAGGAGCTCAGAGCGCAGGCTACTGCCTAATACCGGCGCCTATGGAGAAAGCCGTGCAGAGCCAACTAGCAGCCTGGCAATTTACAGTAGAAGAGTTAATTATTAATAATGAATGAAACAAATCTCTCAGCCCCTTACTCCTCGTATATAAATACCGTTTATTACCCAAACCCGTTTTATAGGCTATGTGTAGCAACAGATTTCGTTTTTTAAATCGTTGCAAGACCACAAAGAAATCTTCACGTTCGCTACAGACATCTCAGTTTTGTCTCTTTATTAAGCAGGTGTTCTGTTGTCGAACCCGTTTACACCCACTAGCGGAATTCCACTACCCTGCAACCAAGAATTCAGCTTCTTCAAATTCGGCCCGGTAGTCTTGTCTTTTAGATAAAACGACTCATTCTTATTCAAAGATGAAAAGAATTTGACATCGTCGTTCAAGATTTACAGTTGATGTATTGATTTACAATTGATGACTATTGAATACTCATGGTTGAGTATTCAAGGGCTGGTCGCATTTTGACAGATCCATTACGTAGATTGAATAAAAAATAAATAAATTTGCGCATATAGCTTTGTATTCCTCATTTGGTATGACATGACATTTATTTTAGCCCTAAAGTTTAGTAAGTTAAAACCAATGAAGCGCTTTTATAGAAAACTCAAATGATAGCGTTACTATTCATAATTCTTTTAACGAATTTAGCAAAATTGTCATGATTAATATAGCGGAAAACCTTCGGAAAAGGAGCAATTGAGATTTATCACCGTTGCCTGCAGAGCTCAGTAATTCAGCTCCTTAGCACGAACATGATCATCCCTTCCGTGGTGTAGCGTACCTAAACCATTCCTTTCCTTTAAAACCCGGAGCACTGAATCAATCACACATTATTAAACTGCTGGCTATAATTTTGTATACTCTGTTATTTAACTCTTTGAAGGAGCAGGCCTCAATTTTACTTCAACACATTTGTTCCACGACGGTAAATCGACGTTTTTGTTGGTGACTTCGGAAAGGTCTAATTTGAGGACTTTTCTCAAATTAGACCTTCGAAATTTCTCCGTAGCTCACTTTTACTGTTGCCAATTAGGTGGGGTTTGTCTGCATTTCACACTCAACGATTTTTATGGGTTTTTTTTTTCATTTTATTTCGCCCTTCTGTCTCCATTTACCAAAATTAAAATATCAGCAGAGATGTCATTTAAAAAAATGCACAAAAAATAACTTACCTATTTTAATTGCATTTGAATCCGCAGAGAACACTACTTGTCATTGGTGTTCAAGTCACACATTATTAGCCTGGGGGAGTGTACTTTATTCTATCTGCAGTTAGGGCGTTTAACAAGCTAATCATCGATGATTGAAGTAACAGGTTTCGGGTCTCTTTTTCAGTTATTCGCACGTTTTGAAACGAGTACAAGGGGACGATAACAGTAAGACTGGCGTCGAAAATCGTCAGGTTACCCGCACTCCTTCTTAAACCGAGCATCGATCAAAACCGCCACAAAACGGTAGTTGGACTGTTTTTTTCGGGTGCGCTTCTTGGGTTGTTTTTAGCTACGAGTTTCACCCCGCCTTCGTTATATTTTGTGACTTTTCTCGCGGATGAGTCTATAAGAAACGATATCTTGTTTAGAGGAAAAGTTTCGCACACAAAAGAACAGCATGAGGTATTGTTGTCTAGATCTTTCGCAATCCACAGTCGGAACATCATTCCAATTAATGAAAACACGGTTCTCCGCGCATCTTCAACACACTATTTCCTGCGTTGTGTTTTACCGTGAGAGAGCTGACAAATCTTTTTTTTAAAAGTCAATAAAGTCAATACATTATTTTATTTTTTTTCCGAAATTATTGAAGCATTTCTGCAATAAGGCAGCGAAGCTGACGCGAATAATCCCAAGACCCCCCTGTTACCACAGGCAATAACATTACAAAGATGTAAATTAGTTTAGCCGCATTTCATTTTCATTATTAGTGGCAATTGCTTTAAAAATCAGCGCTAACTTTGAAAAAATAAGTAAAACACGGAGGCCCCTGGTTCTTATTTAAAATCCTTCTTTTTCTCCGCTGCTAAAATTGGGATAATGTCGGACTAGAAAATCAGAGTCACTTATTCCTCTTTTACACAGACCATAGCAAAGGTCAACTTGGCTTTAACAGGAATTTATTAACAGAGAAATCAGCAAACGATTCTCCAATTAGAGAAACCCGAACAAACAGGCCCCGAGGCTCTTCCATTCCGGAGTCAATTCACATGAAAGCGCCATCTTACCGCAACCCTCCTGGGGACACGATCATACTTTAAAAAGAAAGTATTTTAATGTTCTTTTAATTGCGCTCCTACTTAAAGCGCATTTTATTGGTTTAGCTCCGTCACCGATATGCAACGAGATGCTCCATTTGCAAGAGAGCAAATATTCTAAATACCACAAATAAGCTGAAACAACACGTCCCTATTGATTTATTAAAAAATACCGCCGTGGTGGTGGGCTAATGTATTTTTCATATATTTTGCGCATATCTTAAGTACGTTTTATTTTTACTTCGTTGCACTGCCTGTGTGATATTCCGAGTTTGATTTAATTTAACCAAACGGCTGTAAAATGACAAAAGTAAGGGCCGCATCGTTTAGTATAACATTTGCATTCAATAAATGGGAATCCGGCGTGTTGCGTGATTGGCGTGGTGCTGAATAAGCGTCGAAAAGCTTTTTTTTTAAATCCCAAGTTTAGTCGTTGGAAAAAAAAATGCGCTAAACGGCATAAATGAACAGGCGAACAACAGTTTATTCCGTTCAGCCCGGACTTTGTCGGGAGGATTATTCCGTTGGTGAATATGGATGATAAACGAAAACGCTCTTGGGATTTTTCTTTTAATTGTTTATATATTTTTTTTTCTTTTAATGCTTTCTGCCTCCTCAGGGCTGCTCACGCTGAGCGGCCCAGCGCCTGCTGTCTGTCCCGGCCGGCCGGCCGTGCGAGGCTTTCGGCTGCTCCGGAACAGCTGCCAGGCTGCGCCTCGCGTCCAGACTCCACACCGGCCTGCCAGCGCGGGGCAACGTCTATTCTCACCGTCAGAAAGCTGTTGCAGATCACAGACCGCGGAGAGAGTCCCCTGTCTGCGAAACACACACGGCTGCGGCTCAGCCTTGCGCTTTTGTAGGGCTCTAATAATAATAATAATAAAAATAATAATAATAATAATAATAATCATCATCATCTGGACTGAATGAAGTTCTAGTATATAACCTTTTGACGCCTTGCGAGGGCGAATTTAACTCACATAAAGAAAAATAATGGATCACAGGTTTCAGTGCTTGTAAAAAATTAAAGTTTTTATTGTTGTTACAGAATGGAATTGTTAGAGAATCCTTCCGTGAGATGGGCGTCAGTCTATCACGAACAGAAAGCTTAAGGCTGACTTAATTCACCTCTATCGAATTAAAAGACAAAATGACGGAAGAGAAAAAAAAGTCTGCATGATTTATATAAGCGGATCTCTCTGACGACATATAATAAATATTTCACTCAGTCCTTCAAATGTACATTTCTTACAGTAACTGAGCATGCCACTTCAGAAAATAAAATTAAAAAAAAAGGCCTCGAGAAGTTAGCGCGAGGCTCCCAGGCCGGTCTCGCGGTTAGCCCGAGTCACTGCGGTCCCCCCCCGCCCCCCCCCCCTCGCTGTCCTTCTCATAAACTTTAGAAGTTTATTTGTTAGTATCATAAGCGTATTTGTACAAAAAATTAAAAAAAGAAAGTTAACAGTCCTTTATTTCTTAAGGGGGGCCTTTTGTTTACAGTTTTGGTTTTTTTTAAAAAAAAACTGCAGTTTGTTATTAAATATTCCTTCCTTTTTTTTTTCTGTCCCTCTATAAAATTTCCCGTATAGTCTTTTGTTGTTGCTGTGGTTGTCGTTGTTGTTGTTGTTGTTGTTGTTGTTTTTTAAAAGTTTGGATCAGTTCCCCCACGTCGTCTCGGGTTCGCGTCTTGTTTTACCGGGAGTGCGGGTTTCCTGGGATGGAGGTGGCCAGCGGGTTGAGGGCCGGCTGCCCGCCCGGGCCCAGGCCGTGAATCAGGACCCGCGGGACCAGGGGCCTCTGCAGGCCGGGGTGAGGCGCCGGCGGAGTCCGGTACATACTGCTGTACATAGCGGCGGCGGCCGCGGCTGCTGTCGTGCTGTCCATAGTGCCCAGCAGGCTCGGGTGGTAGAAATAAGGGGAGGGGAACATTCTTTGCAAAGCCGAGTAATTCCCAGCTTCAGCCAGCAGTTCTAATCCTACGGCGGTCTGTCTTTTCCACTTCGTCCTGAAATCAGATCAAAATACAACAGATAAATTATTTAACTGGTTCTGAATCAAGGAATTCCCCCGAGCACCCCGTTAATTGGACAGGCTTAATCACTCCGAGCATAAATTGGTAGATTTTCTGTAGTTAATTAGACCACGAAAAAAAAAAAACCGAGGTAGAAAGCGACCCGTCTTTAACGCGCTGAAAAGAAAGCTTTCTCTAGGTGTTAAAAGTAAGATAAAATATGTTTTGGTTATTTTTAGTTGATATTCTAACACCTTGATAAGAAAAAAAATAAGTCCGCGGCCACTGGAATATGACTGTGAAATAAACTTTCAAGAAATGTTTAGTCTTACGATTAATTTTCGGATAATCATCAGCAAGAAATAAAAATACAATTATGTTTTACTTGTTTAAAAATGAAAGTGTAAATATTCATTAATGGCGTTTTTTATGCATCAGTTAATACTCGAACACTACTGAAAATCTTGAAAGAGGCTTTAGTATTTTCTTATTTACTCGAAATAATGTCTTTATTTTAATCCATCCTTTGAGTTCTCATTTTTTTAAGACAGATAAATATGTAAATCGAACCGAATATATTGGAACAAGTTTGGTTTTGCTTGTCTTTGTTTTCATAATGATATTGGCCTTTGTGTGTTTAGGCACATTTGACATTAATCTCTTCTGACACATTTGGGGTGGTTAAATTCGGTTTACAGAGCAGGAAAAAACGAAAATGTTGTACAATTATTTTCTAATTTAAATATATATATTCGTAATTCTCTTCAACAATATTGGAAGACACAATTATTCCAGGACATCACAAAATCATACCTTCTAAATTTTAGCGAAAGAGTGAAAATGTTTGATTGCGGTTCAGGACGAAGGGCTTAACTGACATTTGTAACAGTCGTGACATTTCAAACTTATCTAAAATTTGAAATCATACACATGTCCGTACGTATGGTGCAAAATAATGTATTATTTTTAAATCATGACAGGACTATTTTAAATAACATTTAGATTAAGACGACATTAAACAAAGTAGGCCACTAAATATTTTAAAAATGAAATGCATATTGTATAAAAACGTTAATTTCCAAGGATCGCAATACTGAACTGTCTGTACACTTCACATTCATGAATGCTTTATTGTATTTTTTTTTGTTGTTATTTATTAAACCGACTGATTTCATTTTTGTAGCTATGAAATTTAGGCTAGCCCGTGCCTTATTCTAAGGAATATGCAACACAAATCCCCTTTCGTGATGCGCAGCGAGAGATCACCGAGCGTGGCATACCTTCGGTTTTGATACCAGGTTTTGACCTGCGTGTCTGTGAGATTAAGCGCCGCCGCGAGATCCATGCGGTCTTGCACGCTCAGGTATTTCTGTCGCTCGAAGCTGCGCTCCAGCTGGTTGAGCTGATGGTCGGAAAAGGCTGTTCTCGCTTTGCGGGGCTTTTTAGAGCGAACCGGGGGACTTTCTCTGCTGCTAGTGATCTCTCGGTCACCTTCTTCTTTCGTGCCTAAATAAATACAAAAAAAAATGCACAATAAGAAAAAAAAATGTTTCTTGTCTCTTATGGAAATCTTTGAGCGTGTAATAATAAAAAAACATTACTCCCCGCTCAAACGTCATACCCGCTTTAAATATAACCACTATAAAAATTACCCTGAAAATAATTTGTTTTGCACGCATTTTGCACAATTTTTAGAATATGTTTTTTACAGATTTCTTGGCGTAGCATTTCAAAACCTCAAGCGCTTCTGTAGGGCTGGTCTGCACTCAGAAGTTTACCGGATGGAGAAGAACAATAATTTATTTTATAAGTGATGGTATTTATTAACAGCGGTGAGATTATTTCAGCGGACGGAATACAATGCGAGTGGTTGAGGTAAAATGGTCTAATTGCATGGTCATACAGCAGACGGGTTAGCTCGCTCTGAAGAATAGGAGTGCGATGTCCGAGCACGTCCAGATGACAACGACAAGAAATCCGGATTCTATTTGTCAACTTAAGTTTTTTTTTTTTACAGAAAAGCTGAGAAATCGATCCGTCAATCCATCTCTATTTGTAGCAGTTTTTGCGGCGCTCCATGGTCTCCTCTGTAGGAAGAACAATAATCTCTCTAATTGACCCACTGGGGAGGCTCGTGCGCAGGAAAATCGCCAGGCAGACTCTACATCTGCTTTCTGTTCTGTTATGCTAATATTAAGAACAAAAAGCCGCAAATATCGATATCATTTTCCAGTATATTTTTTTGAAAATACACAATGCACCAGGAATAAACACACGTAAGCAAAATACAGAGCCCTTCGATTCTGCTGATCCTGAGCAAGTGGTGAAGACAATACTCCGCGCAGACAGCCCCCGAAATTATTACAAACGCATACGGCAAATAATGTTTTATTATACTTCATTTAATTTCCTAGAAGAGGCGCCAGCTACCGGGGAACACACACAGAGGTTCACTCTTCACAAATATACACACAGTGTAGGCTCTATAAACACGTTTAAATCTAAACACACAGGCTGCCTCTGTGTTTCCTCGGGTTGCTTTTAGATTATACAACATAAATAGTGTATCGATATAATACAATATGCGATCCCAGAATCGGCAAGATAATATGTTGTATTGGAATGCATGACTAATTCATTTATCGAACAATGAGGAGGGAGATGCCAATACTCTTTAATACTTCAGTAAAAGTAAAGAATTCCAGTAAAAGCAGCGCAAAAGGACGTACAATTAATTATTACAATAACAACAGTTAATTGTTCAACCCATCCGATCAAACACACTCAACCCGGGTCTTCCTCGGAGGGGTTACCGAGGAGCCCTGCTCCTGACGACTCCGAGCCGCACCTGCGTTTGCGTTTCAGCGGGGACGCGCGACTTCTCGCTTACCGTTGCATTTGATGTCGCTCTGGATGTCGTCCCGCTTGTCCAACTTGCCTTTAGGCTCGTCCTGCTCCAGCTTGGGCCTGAAGCCCTCCGTTAGCGGGGCGCTCTCCGGCTTGGGGGTGTGATGGGGTGAGGAGACGCTGGTGCTGTACGGCGCGCACGCCGCCAGCGGCTTGTTGTCGCCCAGGATGTCTTTGATGAGGAAAGAGGAGGTGGCAGTCCTGGGGGCGCAACCAGGCTGCTGCTGAGCCTGAGGCGACGGCTGCAAACTTTGCTGCTGGTTGTGGTGAAGATGATGGTGCTGCTGCAGGCTGTCTTGAGCAAGGTGCGGCTCGGGCGGCTCCATGGTGACCGAGATTGGGGATGAAGGCGCCGTTCCCACAGTGTCTATCTCCGAGCATGGTGATGGGGTGGCCTGGTTTCTGAAATCTGCTGTCCTGCTGTCCCCAAGCCGAAAATCCCCGCTCATCAGCACCGGGCTGCTGGAGCTGTTGGTGTTCGACAAAATACTGTCTATTCCGAAATTCGACCCACTGGATCCTTCCATAGTAAAAAAAAAAAGGAAAGATCAAAATTAAGAGTTGGTCTTCATTACAAACTTTAAAAACCCAAGACTTCCCTCAGATTTCAGGACGAAAAAGAAAAATGAAACGGTGACACGGTTAGGTGGTCGTATAGATAGAAAAGGGAACCTTGTCCGGCTGACAATATTATTTTAAAAATAAATAATAATAACAATAATAATAATAAATAAAACACAAAAGATAGAAAAAAACTTTTTTGTTGTCCTTCTCTTTCAGAGCAAGTCACTAAAATGGTATTCTCCGAGATTTTGCTACATTCAGTATGAAGACGGGGAAGCGGTGATCTGTATAGTCCACGTCCTTTTGTTCAGCTTATTTAACTTTCTTTCAAAGTTGAGGTGTGGAGAGGCACGGAGGACTAACTCGTCCACGCCACGCTCCTTTTTCGCTTGTAATTGTTCCAGTGTTGCTCTACAATGACTTCCTACACTGACGTCACAGCAATCGCAAAGGGAACTCATATTTTCTCCTTTATTATAATCTTCCCCTGTTTCATCCGTCTCTGCTGCTATTGGCTACGCCGTGACGCTGCCGGACTCAACCAATCGAAAGGTCGCTACTTTATCTTGTCAGTGCGCAGCTCGCTATTGAACCCCGAATGCTCCTTTTAGTAGGGCTGTGGATGCTGTCTTCTATCGTAGCCTGCGAAAGAAGGAAAATAATGCTTGAAAAGGTGTTAATATTGTAATTTAGTGTGGACCACTTCATATCGCTAAACCATACTAACTGCCACAAAGGTGCTGAAAAAACGCTCTCTGACCGACTGGGATAAATGCTTTTTTTTTTTTGCTTGAATAGGCTTCTGCGGTTTTTAAATGCATTTTATTTTAATACACACAGGAGGCAAATTAACGAAATATTCATCCGTTAAAAAAAACAATTTTAATTAACTTTCTAGAGAGGAGAGCAGGCAAAGGAGACTTTGCGTTTGCTTAATCCTCTGCCCCAGCGAATTACCACGGTAATCCCTATTTATTTACCCTATCAAACCAATTAAAATCATTCTATTATAATTTTTATGAAATAAAGTATTTTACACTAAAAATATAAATCCTATGCGAGTCGACTTTAATGCATGCAAACATTCCTTTATTTCAGTTCGGTTTTTAAAATAGAAAAGCTGTTTTAAAAAGATGGTACATGCTATCTCTTCATAATCACGTAGGTAGTCTGAATAGGCAAAGTATTCATAAACACGTCACATATTTCGCTGGATACATCCGTGTTTGGGGTGAATAATATTTATTTGCTTACCTTGTTTATTTTGAAATGGAAACGGGTTCTCCGTCTGATTCGCTAGGGATCACAAACTATTTGCTGGTATTAAGATGGGTATCAACTTGTGTGAATGTGAGCAAAGCAGCTCAGACATACCTCTTGTTGAATGTCAGAGTAATGAGTAGTGTCAGTGACATGACAGCGTATTACTCCTGATTAACTGCCGTGTCAGCCTAATTAGCACAGTAATTATAAGGTGCTAATGAACGATTCAAAGTTACTTAAGTTTGGGTATAGTTTTGGATTTCCATTTTAAGGACATACGGTACCCTTTTCTTTTTTTACACGGCGCAGCAGATTTAACTGGAAAGAGTCGCTGTATTCTCTAGAAAGTACAATCATCCAGGTATAATTTACATCTGTATACAATCACTTCCCCTCTCGCATACAGAAATATGACACACAAATATCGGACGTCCGCCCTGCTAGCAATAATCCCCCCTGTGTTTTAACCGATGGGTAAGGGTGATTAGACATTATCAGAACTATTGATTCGGTTATTTTAATGATACCTCAAACCGACAGGGATGCCGGACGAAAAAGCAAACCGCAAAACAAGTTATTTTCTTGTATTACTTGCATTAAAAGGCGCACTCGGAGTGCGGGTGGAAACCTTCTTCCTGGGCTGATAGGTAGATAACGCAGGCAAGCAGACGTTAGCCGTCTACCTGGATTTGAACAGAGGGTTAAACCAGGCTGCCGTTTGTCTTTTGCAGAAATGTTGCGACAGTTTCGTTTTCCGGGGAGTTTGTGCAGACGGCCCGGCTGCGGAGCGCTTCTGGGCCAGAGGTTAAACTGAGCCGTAAGAGTCCAGCCGGACTGACGAGGACGCAGGAGCCGCACACGGGTTTGTGGCGTTTTGTGATTTCTTTCGGTTTTCTGTCTGTCCCCGCTTGGCTTTCGGACATGGCAATTGTAACTTAGAAGGAATTGGAGCTTTACTAGGCGGCTTTACTGTTTTCTTACTGCATTTTTAAAACGTTCACACTACGTAATTTATTTTCCAGCATTTAGCATTTTTAATATATTTTTGCTCATGTTTGTATATACAAAAAAAAACATCGCGGTATTACCACATTATTATTATTATTATTATTATTATTATTATTATTATTATTATTATTATTTATTCGTCCAAAATAACATGTAGAAAATCTTGCGCCGCATATTAATGAAGACTGAAAATCAATGATTCAAATACTTAATGAATTATTAATAAAAGAGATTTTTTTTCTCCTTTAAGTCCTGAAAGGGCTTAAACTCAAGTTCGTCTGTGAGAAATTGATCATGTTAGCCGCTTATAAATATTATCGACCGATTTGTAGATGATGTAGGCAGAATGGATGTAGAAAGCGTTCACAAAAGTCAGTCTCAGCTATCGACGATGTGTTGAAGAGGTAGACAAATCGTTGCGTGAATTAGAAATTGAATTTTGTATATGCTAGGTGTATATTCACGTTGAAAAAATAGAATTAGATTTCTAATTATAGAATTATTAAACCAGGGCTGCGAGAGGTTTTAAATGTAACAAGGCGAAAGGGAAGCTTTGAGAAGTTACTAGACAAGCGTTCAAGTTCCAGAATTTAAACGCTATTCGATAGTTTCACCTTTTCTGTCATGTTCGCTTGAAGACAGTGAAAGCGAGGCGTACAGAGAGAAAACTAGAAAATTAACGTGGCATCATACAAAAAACCGTTTGTTTAAATTGAAAAATACACACTTGAAGCTGTTAAATAATGATGTTTTAAACAAAACAAAAATTGAAGTGCGTTTTGGGCTGTTTTTTGGGGAGTATCGAATTTTAATGTTAGTCTTATTTAATTTATAGCTGCTTTTATTCATGAGAAAATGATTAGTATTCCTGTGAGTCCAGATAACATCAGCGTATATTTTATATGGAAGTAACCTATTTATGTTGATATTGTGCTTAAATTCTCCGTTGCAGAACAGACCTTATTTGAATAGAGCACTTTCGGCAAACCGCTGACTGGCTGAAAGATCAGTGGTAATACACTGCCTGTCTGCTTCCATAGTTTCTCTTCATTACAGACAGAATCTGTCTTCTTGTAGTTCCTTTTATCCACTGGGCGGCGACAAAACAAAATCGGGAGCGTAAAGTTCGTATTTGTACACCTAGGACTCAGTATTGCTGAACGTCTTTTCACACGACAGGTGCGTGTTAGGATTTGTTATTAACTAGTTGTGAGAAATGAAAATACCAATAAGCTGTGGAATACAGAATATTGCCCTGCCTGTGCCTTTTGGTTAAAAAGTCTGTGCAGCGCTTGATTTTGTCGGCAAGTTTCTAAGCAGAAAGGCCATTTAACATTTTGAATAATAAAGCACAAAACTCAATCCCGTTTTAATAAGTTGGCGCATAGAAAATTCTAAACTCTGTATATTGTGCTAAAAGAGTTTCTAGGCCATATGAATCGGCAAATACCCTAGAAATACCCATCCAGCCTAGAAACTACAGAAACTATGCTGTACTGAACTGTCACTTTGCAAATACACTGTCTACACAGTGAATATACGCACAGCAAAGTAATAATTTACTACAACTAACGATCTAAATAAAACATTAAATTAAAAGTTTGTATGCTGTTCTACTTTTTACATAATGGTGAAGTGAATAACGTTAATGTGGCTTTAGTCCTCTGCAGTGAAACGCGCTCACAGCTTTACGGAGAGAAGCTCTATGTGCCCTGAGATCCTACTCGATTTTCTGTTTTCTTTTTTTTTTCTATTGTCTAACAGATTGGTAGGAAAAAAAAAACAATCAAAGCGATAGCGGAACATGAGAGTCAATGCTGTGAAACTCATTTAACATGTTAATTAACTTTCCTCTAATTGAAACAGCTCTTGGAGCTATAATCAATGTCTTTATTAGGTTTAGGACTGTTGCGCGAACAAATTGAATGCTACCAGTTAAGGTATCATGTTATTGGTCCTTGCTGATGGTCGATGATGGGACAGTAAATTAGTAGTTTGCACCGTATTGATTCTTTCTTGGCTTGAAGCTGAAGCTGTCACTTCGCTCTTAGATACTACGGGCTGTCAGGAGCTTCGGTATAGCTTCATAGCTGTCTGTTGTACAGAAACAAGTCACCCCCTGCTCCAATCACTGACGCATAGCACCAGACACAATGTTAATTGAAATGAGCTTCGTGGAGAGTTTTTGATCTGTACGCGTAGCCTATACAAAAGTGAGTGCTTATCAGGTGTGGCGTAATTACATAGTTAGGGTACCCTAAAGACAACTTTAAAAAGTTTTATTTGGCATTTGAAGTTACGATATAAAAACAACTTGTTGCCTGAAAATGCAACCCGTTTTATTAACACTGTCCAAATGGTACGAACACAGTCCACTTCCAGAAACAATCATTAATGTATACAAACACAAGACAAGAAACGGTCAAACTAATGTTGTTAAAATCATTTTCATGCTGCACTATAACACACATTTTTATATAATGTTTAAATGGTCGCGCTCCTTGTAAAGTTTAAAATCAAGTTAGATTAAAATAGAAACACAAAATAACAAAATAAGTTACAGAATTTTAATGACTTCAAAACATCTCTCTGAATGTATTTTTCTTAACCGAGAAAGCATCCATTGAGACCGAGTGTACCGTATATTAGCCAAATAAGAAATGACTTTCTGGAACTGCCGAAGGAATTTCACCACGCGTTGAAAGGGTGTGTTTGCATTTTAATTGTAACTCCAACAACAACAATCAAGATGTACAAAAACTCATATTTTATGAAAGCTCTGAATAAAGTTTATTCCTTTTAATGTAACATTTAGGTTGAATAATTCTGTGCGATGTAAAAGTGACCTGTGATTATATGATTGCTATTTAATGTTCACTTGAATTGTTCTCACATTTTCTTTATAGTGACCCAAAAGCTGTCATCAACAATCTTACATTTATACACTTTATAAATCAGTTATTATTTTTTTACCACTGATGGAAAAACTGTAGCATTGAAGAGAGCTAGAATGGTGTCACAACTCTGTATTAATTTCCGACAGATCTCCCCTTCATTGTTGGATTAAGAATGGTTGTAATACACACTGTCCTGCACAAGGTGCACTCCACCTTGGACCTCCTGCTTGTTCGGATGGGCTACAGCCCTCCCACAACCCCGAACTGGATGACGCAGTTAGAAAACAGCTCGATGGATAAAAAACCTTATCGAAAGAGCGAAGAATAGTCTCTCCAGTCCCTTCTAATTCTTAGACTATTATTGTTTTTGATTATTGTAGTTTATATACTCAGTAAGAAGATGCTTTATTATCATCTGCACTAGAGGTATTGAACCCCCTGTCAGTAAAAGCAAAAGGAAAATAAAAGACTAGTGAAGTACTGTGTCGGTGCTGCAGACGAAGTTGGAGTCTGTCCGTGCAGGTTCGGTCCCTCTTTCTCCCTGCGATGGGCTGAGAGAAGGTTGTCTGGACACATGCCAGGCCAATGGCCTTTGTTTTGTGCACTGAGACATTTCCCGGTTTTTGTTTAGAATGAGCCCAGTGTAACCTGGGATACAAGCAGCCTCCCTGCTTTCCCACAGACAGTACTCCAGGGTCTACAGGCCACAAGCCGACAAGGAGAATAAAATACGTCAGCTGTTCCGAAACGAAGGGCTGAAATGCACTTTTAGCAAGTGGTGAAGTTTAAAATCTTAGATGCCAAATATCATGATACTGTATACATAGGCAAGGGTTGAAGTAATTATTCACTGGAGTGCTGTAACACACATGTCATAAAAGGCTGCATCGAAAAAAGATGAAGGTATTAAAGTCAAAATGATCTGGCAATTGGATGATTTTATTTCCAATCCAATGTGAGGAAGGATGTTAAAATATTTTAAATAACAGAATACAATTGCAGTACTATTTACTTTAATCATTATTTCCATCTCAGAATTCTCCTCTGTGACACAAAACATGTTCACACCCTAGAAAGGTCACAACTGTCAGAGCTGGTGCTACTCCACACTGCGGTGATTAGCAGGGGCAGAGTGATTTCCTGCTTGTCCACCAGGAGGCAGTATTTAAATGAAGGGGTTACCGTGTTGAAATAAGCGAGTGACAATACAGAAACAGAAAAGGCTCTTTAAAAACATAAACAACTTTGATCAAGAAGAAGAAGATGGTAAGACTCACGAGTGATGATTTTGTAGGCTGTTCCTTGCATTACAAAAAACATCAAGTGCTGTCATCTCAACTTGGACAGAATATCAAACTTTTAAATACAAGACACAGAAAAGCACTGTGGAATGAAATAAGTTAATCATATTCCCGGTTTATTCAGAGAGGGCTAAAATCTGACAGCTTCAACAAGTAACACAACCTTCCCTGTTCTCTACCATATAAGGCAATTAAACATTTATTAAGAAGGGCGTAAACAGTGAACAGAGACAAAACTAAAACAACAAAAAGCAAGTGTGGATTTAATGTGTTTTTAGCAGTTTGTCTTTTTATCTAACATTCACTGAGCTGTTGGTTTTTTCATGAGCTGCATCTTCTCATAATTCAATGAAAATGAAACTTTTTCAACAAGGCCAATGTTTTACTGAACACTCACCAAATGTAAGAGTCTGTATAGTTGAATAGTCAGAAAGTCATTTCCATCAGTAGTGCTACATTACAGATTTAAGACAGGTGCATTGTGCACATGACGGTATCTTTAATTAACAGTGAGTGGTCTGGATTATGATTCAGATAATATGATACACTTCAGTTTAACAGAGTTAAGAATGTACTGACCTCTGTAGAACCCTACCCTTTCAACATTGTTTATTTACCATGGCAAATCATACGATATTTTTAAATCCCAGCAGAGT